CAAGGAATGGCGCGACTGACCTGTACGTTCATGAGGACAGTAGCTGTGCAGCTCATGAAAGCCCACTCGTAGACAAACGGCGAGACGGTATCGCTCCAGTAGCCGACCTTGTGACCTGGAGGCGATGGCCACCACTGAGATCATGCGTTCACAATGCCTTTGCCGCCAGGTCAGCTCAGCTCCCACCCCCCACCACCCCACCACCCCACCCCTCCACCCAGGAACGCCCACCAGCCCACACACTACCTGTCATGATGGGTGCATTCACCCGCTCCCACCCAAGCACCCACAGCAAACAAAAAAGAAGGGGACAGATGATTTGCTCTCCTTTCCGCAGGTGGTACATCGCTGACAATAAAATTCTGCAGTTCAACGACGTTGAAGCACAGTTCGGAACCGTGCCATATGGTCATTCCTGTGCCAGCGCCTGTTGTGCGCAAATCTGACTCATAAGTTGTATTTCTTCAGGGAAGGGCGTTGTGGTAGGATGAGAACACTGTGGGGTTGCGAACGCCTTTGTGAAATGGCCTCTAACACGACACAATAGTATGCACATGAAACTAACTTGTGCCTCTTCTGCCTCTAAGTTTAACTTTTGCGTCAATCTACACCTGTGAATTGCACTTTGTCCACAAGATCGACGTTTGAGGCTACAGGTGCAGAACGAATGGACGGCCCCCATACCGCCGCCTGAATCCCGCTAACCTTTCATCGGCAGTAGTCCGAGGCAGCACGTCCGTTCCCAGTCGTTGCGCATATATGCCAAAACTCCAGCAAACGACAAATACAATACTGGGGCCGCCAGAAGGAAGTTGGGCACCTGCACAACGCAGGTGATAAGCACCAGGTATCACCTCTATCCCCACTACCCTCAAAGAACTAGACCAGCAGCATGCTGTCCCAGAATGGCAACAGCTACTGTCAGTTTGGACACACAATCGAGGATTTGTCGAGCAGAAGGGTGTGGCACATTCAATCAGATGGTGCAGCCACGGCGCCCACGACAGAAGCACAGACAGGGCCTGGACAACGCATTTCATCATCAAGACGATGGAAACATGGGCTTTCTGATCGAACTCAAACTTTTTGTTATTGTTATTGTTATTGTTATTGCTATTGTTATTGTCAACACCGAGACAGTAGTTCATTCCAGAACCCCAGCCCGTGTTGGCTACCTGCCTGCACTTGTCTACCTGTTTAGTTTGGAAGTACTTGAATGGTCCAACATCCCAGTAATGCTCCTGAACGAATCCGTAAAGGTAAGGGACGCGCCCACCGCACCAAGGTCTCGTCGTGGCGTGTGGTGGCGAACAGAATTGCTGGTATCCATACCGCTGGAAGGCCACAAAAGGAGCCGCGACCACCACGGAGGCCAACGCACCCTTCACCGATGCGAGCACTTTCTGACTCTGCATGTGACGGCCCAACGCGCTCAATGCCATAAATAACAACTCAGTCATATCACCTCAGCTCATTAAGATGCACATCGGCACAGGTTACTGCAGACACACGATTTCCAGCAGTGCTGTTCAATCCGTCCTCTTCTTCTCATTGCGACAGTTTTGCTGCATAAATTAAATACATTCATACATCACATGTTCGGCAATTGAGCAACGTTGCGCACAAGTGAAAATTCCGTTGAACACACACATGCATACCAGGGGGTCGCACACACGCTGCATTCAGAGGGATCCACAACTTCGGGTGATTATTAGTCAGGTTGAACGCAACGACGCCACCATTGAAAGTAAACAATCGAAATGGTGATGACTCTAAGCGAATATCAATTTAACCTCTCTAACATCCGAAATAGCGCTGAGCTCACAAAAGACCTTGACCATAGTGAAGCGCGTGAATAACAGCTCAGCGCTGCTGCCGTTTCGGATACTTCCCAACGAGAACTCCAGCACTACTCGCACAGAGGTGCACTGGCGTCACTGCCAGCCTCTACGACGGCAGCCCTGACAGCACAGGACGAAATGGATTTGTTTTCACCTAGGACGGAACGCGCCTGCAGCATTTTGTACTTGGCTTTCACCCAGCCAAGAACAGGCCCGTTTGCTGGCACGGCGTCAACATGAATGTGCCATCCATATTCAACTGCACAAAGCGATCCGTTGGGCCATTCACAAAGCATCTCAGTCGTCATTCGCTTTGCCAATAATCATCATTCACACCGCCATTAAACAAGCAATCGACCATTGCAGTCACCACCATCTCAAATACCGTTAGCATTTGGGCACACATGTCCGCCTTCATGCTGACCAACGCACCCAGCTCTTGATAAAGCAATCACGCAATTAGACGGGCGCCAAGCAAATCGCATCAAGGTATTCAAATTCAATGTCGGCACTCCCCCACATGGCCATCTTCTGCATAGTGGTAAAGGACACATGCCGCAAAGAGGGGTAATACATTGTCGTTGCCATTCATGCGGCGACCGTTTCGCACTGCAAGACTATTGCAGAATGCACATGGTCCAATACCAGGATTTTGTACACCAGCACCGGCAAACGAAATCAATTCATTCCACACAAATGCCACTTACTGGGCAGGCAATTTGAAAGCTCTCACCATGGACGTTTCACTGCCAATCGCAATTTTCAAAGTCCTGTGCACTACGAATCCGGCGTGCAACAGTCCTGCGGGCATAAAGCACAAATTTCCATCTGGGGAAAGACATCAAAGCACTGCAAACTCCGCAAGGCAAATTTGATGCCTGTTGCTCTCAGCAAATAGTGACGAATCGATGGCCAACGGCCCAGTGATCTGAAAATTTCACATGGACGTATGAACACTGTGCGACATGTGGCATTAACTCGTTGCGGGTCCACGCAAAGGCAGCACATTTTTTTAGCAGCTGTCCTTCTGCTGAATATGCATTCCATTCGCATTCTCAAGCCCAATTGCTGTAGTTAAGCGATGGCAGGCTCACTTAAAAATGCACATATTCTTGAAGGTTACGCCATCCTTATTACCCTCAGCCACAGGCCAGTTTCCTATTGAGGGAGTACCAATCATGCTGAATTGATGAAAATGTGCATTTGTAGTGCACAGTTTGCACTGCTGATTCACTGTTGATGTGGTTTGCACTGCAAACCGCGTCAAAATGGACCAAATCTTGCATTTCACGATGGGGATTTAAGTAATAGTAGCAATAGGGGTGATTCAACCACAACAAAACACATCAATATCAATCTATATCGGCCCTTGCTGGTGTTGTTTCCATCATCAATATCAACGAGCCCATGATATAGCAACACCAAGTCACACAATAAACTGTTTCCTTGCATATTCTGACTAAATGCAGAGTGACGAGAGTGTGTGCTGTGCAAAATGAACATCCCTTTATATGCATCAAGATTTTGCAACCTTGGCTGTCGTCAACAAGTGGTGGCAACAAGAGTCCAATGGACATGACCCAGCGTCATCGATAGTGCAAATCTCTTTGGCACGATGGGCTCACACTTGCCATTAGATCGAATTGCAGAGCCAAAAGAGAAGGCCAGTGTAGCTAGCCACAGGGAGTCACACACAAACAGCCAGTACAGCCCTGCCATTGTGGCCAGCGAAAACAGGCTCTCTGTGTACACGGCAGATGCGAACACAGACGATGGTGGCAGGCAGTACAGAAGGAGGGCCGTGGCACACAGCCTTGGCACTTCCACGATGGCCTTGCTCAGCCTGGCAGTGGCATGCACAGGAGTGGAGTGCGCTTGAATTGGGCAGTTGCTCAGAATCATCTCTCCACAGAAAGTAACAATGGGAAGGCCACACGAGGCAATGATGCAAATTCTCATGCAGTCATGAAACATTGAAAATCAGCATTGGGTTGTCTGCGAGATGCAAGCAGTGCAGTTTCAACTGGCATGCGTGCAGTCATGAACAGGAAATTCCAATTGGGTTTGTCTCCTATTATGCTCCTCTAACCCAGCACTGCTAGTATATGTTTCTGCTCAACAAAATATGACAAGTTCTTAGATACACCCTATTCATATTTCTCCTCTGCAGTCACCTAGCTGTCTCCCCGATGAAGATATCAGAATTCGCGGCTGATCAGTGATATTTTCGGAAACATGACACTCTCAGATTTTTACTCTTCCGGAAAATTGTGCAAAGGCCCTGTCATAATAAAATGATCCAAGAGTGAATGCATTCGTGGACCTTGCATGAACACAACAAAGTTCTAGAAAGCTATAACATCATACTCACTATGCGATCCTTCAGAAAATTCTCACAAAAGGGTGAGGGACGTTGCACACATCCACCCAATTTGCACCCTGTGATGCTGAACAGCACACGTGGCAGCACATGGTTTGGTTTTGCTCCGCAAACAACACAACAGCGCTATTAGCCCAATTCTCCTTACTTGTAGAAGAGCACAGCTGACAGCGCAAAGCTGGTGTTGCTGATCACCAACCCTGCCAGTGCATGCGAGGCATGTATGTCCAGCCGGGTCCCAAATGCCCTAGCCACTGCAAAAGAGGAGAAGAACTTCCATTGAAAGGGTTCATATTGGCTGTCAATGGAATGGATCACACAGTACCAGAGGCAAATCATGTGTTCCCTCCCATCCACACGCCATTGAGGATCAGAAGGCCATGTACACAGTTCTTGTAGTGCGTTGCAACTGGCTGCGGGTTTGCGTGCCACTCACATGTCAACTGTGCAAATGTGTGCTCTGATGTTGTGGGGCTTGAGTTTCTCTGTCAAGCATTGCAAGGACAGTGCAGGCCGCTGAGAGCTTAATGCTAACTGGCGATCTGCGTTCAGTGTAGACATGTGACGTGACCACTGTGTTGTATTCCATGTTGGCTTTGTGCTTTAATGATACAGTCATTCATTCATGTTGCCGGCCAGAGCCTGTACAGTCCTGCTGCTTGAAAGGTTGCTGCTCACACATCCTCATAGATCGCATTTTGGCAAAGTGTGACAACCAGTGCATTTGCAACTATTCCGCCTTGCAGAGTTTCAACAGGACACTGCTCACATTGAGAAACACCTGTGCTCATATTACATCGATTTAGTGCTCACGCTCCTGAGGGCACTACACCTTGAACAGTCAGCAAGCTGTCATGACCAGCTGTGTTCCCTGGCAGTCCACGTGCACTGGTCCTTCACATCCACAGGTACTCACCTTGGGTAACCAGCTTGAGGATGCCTGCCCTAGACCAAAACACGACAACTGCTTTGCCACAAGAGCCCCGACGCCAGGATCAAAAGAAGCAGCATCGGACAGGCTACGGTTGCTTGTGTCTAACTTTCATGGGACCGACAGTATTCCTAACGAGCAGGGTGCCCTGTCAGAACTCAACATCAGAAGGGAAATATGCTCCAGTGGGTGCGATTTGAGTCGGAGGTGGGTGGCCCCAGAAGGGACCATTGCTGCTGTTCAGTATGGGCTGTGCCTTACTCGCTTCGCAGCATATGCCCGTTGGCCAAACTTTTACCTCTGGCCAAAGCATCCGACATTTGCCACGCTTCAAAACGATGATTCAACAGCTATGGGACACGTGCAGCCCAATGGAACGGCAGCAATGGTACAACGCACGTTATAACTTGCACATATTTTGATCCAGAAGGCCTCTCGTGAAGCGCTCAATGAGCCCCTGTGCTTCGCAAGGACGACTCTCCAGCTGGTTTGGTGGCCAACCAATCGTCGACTGCAAAACGGACTGTTGGACATTCCAGCGCACCTGGGTAGCCGGGAAAGAACGCGTGGCACTGCTCGTACTCGTAACCGCACCGGGCGATGCGCACAAAGTACAAGGAGTCCCAGACGACCATCCTTCCCAGGGCGGCTTCGATCGCCGACAGAGATGGGGCGTCGCCATCCACCTCCCCTGAATTGCAGGGCCCGTGGTCCGCGAGCTCGCTGGAGGTGTCATAGTCCGGCAGGAGGCCGTCCAGAAGCGAGCTGAGGCACAAGACGGCCAAGCGGCAGCACAGGGCGACGGCGAAAACCCTGCGCCCCTCCGAGGCCGCCCGAAACATGCCCGCCGAGAGCACTCCCAGCTGCGAGGGCGGTGGTGGCCAGCTCGCCTTTTTCACAGGCGAATGACGAATGAGAGCGGACTAATGACGACCGAGCGCTGGGCCGTGACGACTCGAATCGGGCAATCGGCGTGGAAGCCGTAGGGCTGTATGCGAGGTCGTGAGGACATGGTGCGATGATGATGATGAAGTTCCATTAAGTGCGTGTCAGCCACCGAGAGCTATGTCGCCAACCCGCCGCACAAGAACAGTATGTCCATCTTTTGTCCCAGTGTCCGCCTCACCCACGTACCAACTATCCGCCTCTACATCGAGGCATACAAATCATCCAAAACAAAACCTACTCCTCTGCATCTCACCCACAGCCACCCCGCTCGCCTCACCACCTCCAACGTACACCCCATCATCACAGAAGCTTGAACCCATTCACAACCACAGTGAGGACATGGCAGACAGAGAGACATAGGCACACAGAGGACATAGGCATACGGTAAATACGGTATTTGGGCCGGCCCTGAAGTGGATGCTTTCGGCCAGCAACACGGTTGGGTGGAGCCCCAGCTGGCTGCCTGATGGCTGGGTCCATAATACGTACCTAGCTTAGTACCTAGCTAAGTACCTAGTATAAGTGCGTCGTGCACGCAGGTTGGGGCCAAATGAATACAGTTCATGGCCGCCAATTGTCTTTTCCACAAAGAAGTGGCAGACCGGCTGCACACCAGTACACCGAGCTCATGCAGCAGTTGGTACGATTTCGCGCAGCGAAACCTTCCAGCCCGCAGGCACTCTGGATGGAGGATTGTCCAGTACCTATCATTACACGATACTATGGTCATGAAGGGATCGCGAAGGTCATAAGGGGAAAGCCATGAAATTTAAAAACAGCCCAAACCCGAAAACAACCTTCATGATTTCATGTCCGGAAATGAAGGGTATTGGACATTTGCGTCTGGATGTTGTTGCCATGTCTGTGTGCCATGCTCGGGTGAGCGAGCGCGGCTGAGCAATGTCCAAGACAGGGGTCCCCTGGCATGCTAATGCACACGAGAAAGGGACGATTCCCTGCGCATAGCTCAGAATGCCGCAGTTTGGAGACGCGCGGCAAGGCTGGCAGCAATTGGATGTGCGACACCGCCCACGTTTGCCCCAATATTGAGAACTTCTGACTGTGGATCGCGACAGTGGCCTCTGTCTGTACTCAAATCAACAATGTTACATTCGTTCGATGCGATGGCATGGATTTCAACATGCAAGAATTGGATGAGCACCTGGTCCGCCGTGGCATCTTTGCACGAAGGACGCGACGCAGCACCAGACCCAGGGTCGCCCCCCGCAAAGAGATCTGTTTCGCTGTGCACGGAAAAAGCAGCCATATTGAGGCAAAAACAGCCAATCATGAGCTCTGGCCCCTTCCAATGCGCGGCCCGGGAGTCGCATACCGAGGGTTGCCATTGGACCTCACAGAATAGTTAGGGTGTCACGGTGTTTCCCATCCTCACACCACCATCAATCTCGGTAACCATCGCTGTACTTCTGCTTCCCTGCAAGCTCCATAACCCGCTGATCTTCCTTGTACCTGCAGACGTTAAACAGCAAGCCACTGTCACAGCGACACGACTGATCAGCTCAGAGGTCCAGCGCCTTCGCCCTCGGCGCCTTCGTATGGCTCCTCTGCATGAGCGTGGATGGCGATGCACATGATGGTGTGAGGATTCCTCTTGGCAATAAATCAGCAATCAGATTACGTCCTTATGGTAAAACATTGCCTCATCGGTACAAAATACGGTGGGAGAATATGTGTGCACCGGTAAACTTCAACATACTGACATTCAACGCAATCACGACAGCGTCCCCAATGCTCCCCACGTGTTCTCACGTGTCGGCCAAGTCTTACCACGTGGTGAGCGATGTCGGTCGAAATCGACCATATCCGCAGTGGCAAGCAGAGCAGCCCACTGAGGCGACAGTCGACGTAAGTTTGCGGCAGATATTTCCATTCACAGAGATCATCAAATCTCGCCCCAAGATACTCTTGCTCTATCACATGCTCTATCACATGCTGTTGCACAAACAGAACATATGGCACGGCCTAGCTCTTGAGCCTTACTTGTCCAGCACACTGCTCGAATCTCCAGGTGCCAACTCGTCGTCCTCCACAGGCTCGACCAGCCAGCACTCCACGTCCTTCACGCCGAAGGTCTGCGCAGATGCGAGGCATGGGCTCGAGAACGTCGCCGACGGCCGGCTCATACCGCCGTCGAATGTGCTGTCGATGAACAGCCCGAAATGGCCGACCTGTAAAGGCGTCGCGCGAAAGCAGCACTGAGCACAGTGGCACGTCCTTGCATGTCAAGCCGGCGTTGCGAACTTAGCACTAGGGTCTTCGGTGAGGGCACGGCATTGTGAAGTGACCATTCTAAAGGCCCCTCCGTGGATCAACCAAGGACGAGCTCTGCCACATGGTTTCAAGTATCAGAAGAACTGAAAAGCCATTCTCTATAACCCTATTGGTTGCAGCAACAGACGCAAGTGGTGCCAGATTTCAACTAAGAAAATCGTAGGTAGTAGTAGATACCCCAATACTTCTAGTAAGTAGTAGTAGGTACCACATTCCAAAATTGATTTGAGATATCCCTTCCGAAGCCCATTCGCAATTCATTCCGTATGTAGGACAGAGATCTTTGGAACACTATAAGAACTGCTGACCACGATGACTTATGGCAGCTGCCGATCACTGCAATCTTGTACATTCAACTAAGAAAGTCGTAGGTAGTAGTAGATACCCCAATACTTCTAGTAAGTAGTAGTAGGTACCACATTCCAAAAATGATTGAGATATTCCTTCTGAAGCTCATTCGCAATTCATTCCGTATATAGGACAGAGATCTTTGGAACATTGTAAGAACTGCTGAACACGATGACATATGGCAGTTGCCGATCACTGCAATCTTACACAGCTGTAGCCCCAAAGATGCCTGCACATGGGTGTGTCAAATATACTGTATGGAGCGAAAAACAGCCTTGCACCGAAGTGGATTGCCCCATGACAACGGAAACGTCCATTGCACAGCAACGTCTAGGTGCAGCACATAGCTGCACTTCAAATCCTTGTACAACTAGATCCATGGGCTGATACTCAGGAGTACTATTTCTTCATCAGATAAATTGTTATGGATTCTTATGGATTTGCATTTCTGCTGAGATGACTCAACATCAGCATGGAAATTATGACTACAGGTGTGATGGTGCACAGTCTTCGCCCCCTTGACATGTACCTCAGTCACACCCTCCTGCGTGGGAGCAGTGGATTTCTACCAAGACATCAGAAACAGCCATGCACCTGGCCTCCGAATCCGACGCCATTGGGCAGCTGGCTGAAGCCCTGGCCACACCACTGGAAATGGTCGTTCGAGCCGCTGGCTTTGTACATCGAGTAGTGTGGGTCCAATGTGAAGAGGAACGATGAGTAGTCGCCATAGAATGATCCCTGCTTCTTCCAAGGCAGCGGCGCAAAGCCGCCAAAACAGTGGCCTTCTGAGTCCCTGACAATCATCAGGGTCGCACCGCGTCCCTTCACTTTACCCATGAATGTGTTGAAACTCTTCCCATGAACGCTGCTGTGGAAGAGGAGGTGCCACTTCAGGCACTGCTGCGATGGCAGACCTGTGCACACACACATGCACACAGTCAAATGTGGGTGACGATGAACTTCAAAAGCACAAATAACGACAAGGGACATCTGCGAGGAAGGGGCAAAACTCGCCCATGTACGTTTATTGCATTACTGTTACACCACATTACCAAAGCCAAGAATGCATCGTAAACAGCATGGAATCGCTGCAAGATGGATAAGCATGAACCACAACAACAGGAACGTGCAACAAGGCAGTCCATGTGGTGAATCTGGGTGATGTGCAGAGTGAGGATCGAACTAACAGTGCCTGCATTGTATCAGGATTGCATTGTCATGGCCTTTGTGGTAAAGTTATCCAAGAAATTCAAGAGTACATGCATTCAAACCCATCTTCATCATTGCTCACCCCCGCACAGGAGCCAAAGCCAGCTGTGTTTGAGAAGGAGCTCCTTGCCAGTCCATTGGTCATCCATTTCCAGCCTGGGGGTATGGATGGACAGTGTTGGTGATTGGCCGGGCCATCTTTGGAGGAGGGAGCACAGCACAAGGCTGACAGAAGGAACCTGACTGGCGAAACAGCCATAATCAATCAGGTGCAGGGCAGAAGCCAAGAGTTGTACGTGCTGTCATGAGCACTGGAACCATTAAGTGTACCCAAGTGACACTTTCATCTGATGCGATGCAAGGAAAACAGACGTCTAACCACAATCTCTGCAGCATGTGAAATCAACGTTTTGCAAACAGCATGCCCTTGTGGTCAAAGAATGCCAGACTTCCAACTTCAACTGGCTGTGGCACAAATCTTGCAGTTGCATCTCAGAGCAAACGAGTTCAAGTTGAAATGTAGTTTGTTGGGTGGAAAAAGGGGTCTCTCAAAGTGTGTTGTATGTGGCCATGTGCCAATGGTTCTGTGCCCCAAACCTGACACAGCTTCATGTTCCCATCACCACAGTGTGGAATGGCAGTGCAGTTTTATATTCTGGCAAACTGTATCAAATGGACTGAAAGGCTCACCTTCTTCGACCACATTTCGAAGGTCCCTTGGTCCAGGGAGCCAGTGCTGTCTGGGTCACCACTTCTACACATCTTGGTAGCCCCCAGGGCCACCCGCCCTGCAACATCATCTGTCTCGCTCTGGCCACACAGACATGGAACGGTTCAGAAACAGCAAATGAATTCCCAAAGGCCTCACCCAGACCCTTGAATTGATTTCTTGTTGCAGGTGGACTGCATGCGCTCCAACTTGTATCTGATGTTGTAGAAGACACAGTGCTGTGCTGCTTCTTCTTGCACACCTTGCATATCCATAATCTCAATCTGTGCAATGGGACCACATTGAAGCATCTGTGAGACGAAATCCCATCATCGAGCTATTGCTGGAACCTTCTTGTGAAAATCATCCCAAAACCTGCAGTTTAAACAACAGCACCAGCCCCGGACAGCAACACATTGCCACTCTGTACCGTTGACACCCATGCCAGCAGTACAACAACTGTCGCAGCCGATCCTTCTGACGTGTTGCTCTAGCCTTGCCTGCACCAAAATCCTCCTTCCTCTCACATCAACACCAATCCGTACCGCATCCCCAATTATTCCACAAACATTCGCAAGAGAAAGAAACAAAATTTGTTTCCTTTCTGTCGCGAATGTCGCGTTTCAACACACGAATGCCGGCACCATCCCCCCGTGCCGCGCCTGGCCCCCGCACGTTGCAGCACGGAAGACTCATGCCCATATTTGCTCAGGAGGGGGCGCCCTTTGCACGACCCGTTTCTCTCTCCCTCTCTTTGCAACGGCTAGTGGGGTGTATAGCACTGACGGTGACACGCACATCTTCGTCGTAACACTACGCGTATGAAATCCTCTTCTCCCTTTGCAACAAATCTTACCTCCCCGCCGACCACCGCCGCGCACGCCCTGACTCCAGCCTCCAGCTCCGTCCGCCCCACCCGCCCGTCCCCGTCCGCGTCCAGCACGCCGAACGCGAACCCGGCCCTCTCCGCATCCGACCCCCTCTCGCACCGTCGCAGCGCCACGACGAAATCCTCGAAAGCGATTTCGCCCCTGCGCGACCGATCCACTGCGCGGCACAGCGAATCGGCAATGTCACCCCAGAGGGCGTCCGTCATGTGCAGCAGGGCCTTGAACCCGGCGAAGGGCAGAATCGGGTTGTCCTTCGTGCCCGAGGCGCCGGTCTGTGTCTTGAACGCCGCTTTCATTCGCAGCAGGTCATCCTTGGGGATAGAGCGCTCCGCGGCGACCACGTCGGGGGCCCTGGCCTCCTGCGATCCCCACAGCCACGACCACGGCTTCATGCCGGCGGAGCCGACCTTGGATCTCGAATCCCGGCGGTGGGCGCGATGGCCGCGAAAACTCTGGTGGAGCGCACGGGCCCTGCAGGCGAGTTGTGCTGTCGGGTTGGGGCGCAACAGTTTTGCAGTCCTCCAGGCGAAATAGTTCGCGCGTCGGGTTGTTAAGGCCCACGAGCCGAGCACCAGAGTCCAGTGCATGCAACGAGCCAAGGTTGACGAAGGCAGGCAAGGTCGAGGGGTACTGGCTCCCGACTAGGGACCGTAGGCTCGAGTATACGGCAACGGTCTACAGCTGGGCAAGGGGACGACAGGAATTCTGCCCCTCATGGCGGGTCCGTTCATCAGCGTCCTTGATTCAGTTCCCATTGTCTCATAACCTCTTAGTGCGTGCAACTATTAATAATACTCGACCAGTTCTGGTTACAACAGTGTGATGGTTCATGTCGTCATTGGGCAGGGCGATGAGCTGCCCCACGGGGTCTTGCTGAGATGCCCTTCTATTCAGAGCGCTTTGGCATTGCGGTTGAGGTCGCACTAACTCCTGGAAGTGCCAAAATTATGATCGGATGCTGCATTGCGGCCAGCTCACCACGCTTTCCTTCTACTCATTTCGTTGGCTAGAGTTCTCGCAGCGCACCCAGATGTTGTATCACGTGCCCCAATAGTGGAATGTCTCGACATAGAGTACCGCAGCTAAGTTCTGCAGTGTAGCAGAGTTCTCTGTGAGACCAACGTTATATCCCAAGATTGCAGTGCTGATATCTGTTGCTGTACGATATACTATCTCTGTTCCAAAAGTCGTGTCGCATCTGTAATTTGCACGAATAGAGGTTAAAATGTACGAGTCAGAAAAATTGACCAAAGCAGCTTTCATGTGTCATATCAAGAGCTATCCAAAGAGCCCCTTGATATGGCAAATGGTGCTGCCGTTCTTGCGACACTACCGTATTACATTGAGTGCAGCTGAAACGCGATTTTGCATTTTGTAGGGACCAAGGACAGGGCATAGCGAGCTTGTCTGGCCCTTCAGAAGAGGTGGATCGACTTTCGCTGTCTCCAAGCGAGCGGCACGCTTGGTTGGTTTGGTTTGCGCTAAGGATACGGCTCGATTCCAAACAATGAGCAAGGATCAGAGTTTAGTACAGAATTTGAGGTGTCAACAAGAACCGGGTAAAGGTTGTGGCCAATGCCCAGAGGCACCTCCATCTGCGAAAGAATATCTATCTGGCATACTTTCCAATGTCAAGAAGGTCATACACACCAAAAACAGGGCTTAGGTTGAGACACAAACGGACAAATGTTTAAAACGGTAATTTGGAAAACAGTAGTTAGCATACTTGAAGAAACAGTGAGCGCAAGGGACTGTAGTATTGGTATCAAGATTTTTGAAAGGGTGTAGTAGTGCCTATTTATTGTCTGCAACAAAGTCTTGCATGGATTTTGGGGAAACGGGTTGGGAAATTCGGGAATAAGGCCAATGCAATAATGTGCGGAATAGAAGACCTAGATGGAACTGGATAGGGTACTTTTGACCAGCCTACGAATATCGTGTTTTATGCCGATGAATAACCGAGACCCAGGCCAGTAACCAAGGCTCATATCAACCCAAAGTTTTGGGTTTAAACCGACCAAGCAACCCGGAAATGGTGATGGAGTGACTGATTGAGTTGATCTTGCAAAGTTATAGCAAGAATTACAGATGCAACACGACTTTTGGAACAGAGGTAGTATGTTGCTTTGCCTTACTTTTCTGTCGAATATAGTAGTGTGACCTTTTTATTCAATTCCGTTATTGCAAGTAATGTCAATTGCTCAGTCAATAGTAGCCAACTGGATTTACTGGTCATTTTTCCCCTATTACTTACACCTGCAGCTTCCTGCAAGTAAAACAGAGATAGACCTGCACTGGAATAGCAACGAATTAATTAATCAACCAGTCAGTCAACTAATCAGTGAATCAATCAACCAAGCAGTCAAACAATACGCAAACAAATCAGTACATCGATACAACAATGCATCTATACACACCAGTGAACATGTGCTGCCCGTGCACGACCTTCCATGCAACGTCGAAGAGACTCCGTCCACGTTCCTTTACTGCCGCCCCTCGGGTGCGACGAACACCTTCCGAGTCTATCGTGCGCGCGTTTCCAGACCACCAAACACTCCCACCTTGGCCCCCTGCCAGCCCTTTGCCTTTGTCGCCATCGACAGACCATCCCAGTCTGTCTTGTGCCTGGAACCCGTGAACAATCCCGCCTCCCCGAACGCAACCATATATGGCCCAGGAGCCTTTGAACCGCCTTGAGACGCCTCTCGGCAGCACGTGTGGACGCTGCTTATGTGCGCCAACCGGCTGCGACTCCCCAGGAACTGACGAGAGCGTCACCCTCCTTGCGTGCTCCCGCAGTTGCCGGCGTCCGCCCTTGCGCACCGCAGCTCCGCAGGTGCGCACATCACAACCCGCCGGCGATGCACAGCACGACCCGCCTCGACGAAAAAGGCGGACACCAACTTCCGCTGTCAGCTTTGACTACCGCTTCCCGCCAATCGGAGCGCCCTGCCACGGTTTTCTTCACGGTGGGTGGCACGGAGGGTGGCGTGAGCCACTGCCTCAGTGTTCCATTCACGGTGGGGTGTGCGTGCGCGCAATGGTGAAGCGCCACACAAGATCCCGCCCAAGCGCCCTGGTTAGGCTATCCGCTGAGGACAGGTCGTGGGGCAGATCCGTCTTTTTGTGTGTGGCTGGTCCCCAGAGGACGGGCATTGCCGTTAGAGGCCGCGAGGTCGTGTTCAGGGTCGTGCGTCGCGCACTCAGAAGTGAAAATCTTGCAGTGACGACCTCGTCAGCGTTGACAATGTGATAGCGCTAGGGTTCAACTGAACTTCATATGGAAGAATATAATGAGATTCGGTGTCCAGTGTGTACACTATGGAGCATGGGGCGTGATTGGACACTAGGTGGAAGATTTGTATGGATTTGGAGGGTCCAAAGGGGCAGTACGGTAATGTGACTTCGAGTGCTGGAAAGCTGTGATGCGGATAACAAGAGGGAATATTCTACGGCACATTCTATGTTTTGTG